ATAGCACAATCACTTTTGCTACTACTCCCATCTACAGGAAATTCCTCATGTCAATACAACAAGTCTTCATTATAAGTAGAGCTGGAAGTCTTATTTATGACTGGGAGGCCAAAACAGATGTGGTATGTTACCTCACATGTTGGTCAGTTGAAAGGACTCTTTTTTTCACTCTTTAGGTGGAAGTGGAGCGGATTTGTGAATACCCTTTAGACATTATTTTGGAAGAAGTAGATCAAAAAGCGATGGTGGTCTTCGGAGAGAAAGATGGTGTTAAACTAAGGTACCATTTTCTACTCTTCGTCAGTAAGGTTGCGTTCATACTTTGGATGGGAAACTGGGTGAATCGAAGGATTGACGTCTTGTGAGAATGCGTGTCAAAAGAGTGGATGGGTCAACGGCAACGCGCCTTCTCCCAAGAAGCTAATTCTGCACTTATGCCTTCGCAGTGTATGACCGCAGCTCGAGAGTACAAAGTTTTTTCTGTTCCATGCGTTGCCAAGCCGGCTTGGAAACATTTAGACCGGAGCTCGTTGTGAAATCTATCCTTTTCTTGACAAGTATCCAGTTTCTGGCAGGTGTTAGTTGCGCTGTGGAAGACAAACTTACCCTTTTGAATTGCCGAACGATGTATCGAGCGTTCTAGTCAGTTTTTCCTTGAAAATCTACCCTAGGTTCTCGAATAAAGACTGAATCAAAATATGGCTAGCTTTCATTAAAGACAGCGTCCGCGATCAAGCCAAGGTGAAAAAACCTGTACTGTACAAGATCGCGGAGTCCGCAACCACAGAGGATATCCCACTCCTTGCGACTCGAAATCGATTGATAGACGAAGGCGGAGTCAACAATGATAAGCTGACTCCGCCTGTCGTGTTAATCCCGCCTCGATTGGTTTTCCGTTATCAATCCTCATTGATAACCGCTAAGTTTCTAGCGTTCGTTTCGTACACTGATAGAGAGATTAACTTATAGATAGATAGGATTAGATTAGACAGATCAGCTTCACGCCTAGGTAGTGGCCTCATGAGAATTAGCCGCAACGAGGTGGCGATAGATCACGGTGCAGAACTATCCAAACCCTACGAACTCGTCGGATGCGTCGATCGAATAGGGTGTCATTCTATTTCTTGCAGCGCTTTGTGTATCAGTTTTTTGATTGATGCTTGACTTGTCGCACGCTTAGTATGTGACCTTATCAACTGCAAAGTCCATCGCGGGCGCTGTCTTCATGTATCAAAGTTCTTTGTGTTTTCTCTGTTGACCGAATCTTTTCACACACTTCTTCGTAGTCGTAAGTCCGTCTCGGTCTACGAGCAAACCTATCAAGTTAATATTATTAAATATCAAAAATGTTCTGCGTCTCGTAGTATATTTGAAGGGGGGTTTGAAAACCGAGGGAACGATTTCGGCCCCAAAATTTGTTATCCTAGGATTTGGAGAATTTCTGTTGAAAAATGGACTGTGTCCATATGTTGATAGGTCCGCGTGCTTTCACCCCAATTCAGCTGGGATAACCATCGCATGACACGCCTCCTTTACAAATTTCCGTCTAAGCTTACGTGAAATTGATGGTCATCCTTCGCTCTAATACACAGAATCTCCTACGTATTACGTTACTGAATCAACGGATCCAAAGTGTCAGGCACGAGATTTTTCGTTGATGATACAGAGCACAATATTCTGAAATATTTGGAGGATGAGTCCAACTTTCCGGTAAATTCTTTCCTTCAGTAAACGAGTGCTTCATGGTTTGCCGCAAAACGCTAAGACTGCGTTCATACTTTGCGTCAGCGTTTTGAACCTTTCGAGTGTACACCAGCGAATGGCAGCGCTTCAGCGACTAAGAAGGTAGAAAATTGATCTAGCGTTCTGAGCGTTTAGCGGGTAGTTTTGAACTTTTCGCCGGCAGTCACTGTTATACGCTGGCGCACGCTCAAAGCGCTGCCGTACGCTCGTAACGTTCAAGACGCTGACGCAAAGTATGAACGCACTCCAGGACCGCTTCCATATTTTGCGGTTAGAGGGAATCTGCGATTCTGTAGAGCCGGCGATAAAAAACAAGCAAAATCGGACGACAAAGGGAATTGAATGAGAATCAGTAGTTTGCTTGTGAGCGAAGATTATCTCCTTTGATTCACTGTCGCTGATTCCTCGGGTGCGCGGGTTCTCTATTTCTCCAATCTAAGAACGTGGCCTAAAATAAGCTGACGGAGGTCCTGTTTTCAGGTCAGCATACGGTTCTCTCCTCCGTCGGTTTCCACAAATGAGAAAATCATACTTTCTTCCATGTTTCATTCATTGTTTACGATTGCTGTGCAATTGAGCCCAGCTGCTCGGAGCTCCGGAATCGAGGTTAGTGAGAAACTCAATTCCTAACTAGCAATGATCGTGTCTCTGATGATTATCTTTCTGAATTCCCAAAGGGGCTTTGCTGTACACAGAAAGTCGAAAAAATAAAATTCCCCGCAAACTTTTGCCGCTGCTTTGCAACTCTGAATTTCCTGCGCAGTAACAAAGAGTACAACTAATTTTATGAAAGCAAGCAGTGGTGGCTTTCAGGTGATGGAAACAACACAATTTCGGCTGTCTTGCTTGCAAAGCAGAACCGGTGCGTTTACCACTCACTTCGTTTAGAAGTTATTCCTACATTTGTTTTGGCGTTTATGTACCTCTGCACTTGCTCAGGGCAACACTGCTGGTATATTTTACTTACATAATAACCATTTAAGGAGTCAAATTTGTTCGTGGTTACGTCGCCTTCGGCTGCGATTCCCATCGAATCTCTTCTTAACAAGCTTTATGAACTTTATGCTGATTACGCCCTGAAAAATCCGTTCTACGCAATTGATATGCCAATCAGGTAAGTCAATGTTCCTCCGAGAGAAAGTGCTTCGCAAAAATGTTCTCTTTCACATTCTATGATCATACAAGCACTCGTTTTACGTTTCAGATGTTCAAAATTTGAAGAAGGTCTGAAGTTACTTTTGGAACGTGTTGATAAGAATTCAACTTCCGTCACGATCTAATCCCTACTGTGATTATGGCAATGTTGGACATTGCTTGTGTATTATGTATTTATGGGTTTTTCGCATTATGTTCAGTGCGAACATTTGTATCTCAAGAGTTCTATAGATTTGCATAAAACTTATTCATATCTGCTCGATCTACATTGTCCGGTGAACGTTCCATGTTTACATGGTCAACTGTGCTGTATTTTCTTGCCGTAAGAAGGTGCGCCATCCATTCAGTCTTGGATCCAGATGACGGTTGATACAAGTTTCGCATTTCTGACGAAAATTCCAGACCAATGTGGTTACCTCGTATTCGCCGATAAGGCCATTGTGAAGGTAGTTTTCATATTTTTTCTCTCTCATCATCTGATAGCGAGATCCTTGTGAAGTTCATGGAGATCAGGTGTTCAGTATGAGTTCAGTTATTTCCCATTTTGTTGTAAGGTAGCAGACCCCACCAATAAGCACTGTTTCGGTGGTTTCTGTGGTAGAGCGGATCAGACCTGTCCACAAGCACAAGCGTATACTCGCCAAATGCTATGAGTATCGGGTTAGGCGGAGGCATTCGAACCTGTAAGAACTGGTTAACTGGTGGAATATTCCAGTCTGGGACAACTGTCATCTTGTTCTATATTGGACAGAGACACGACAACGATTGTGTGGAGATGAAAATATCGCATCAGAAGCGTAGAGAGCCTTGAGGGCGTAAGTTTGAACAAATGCGACCACCCGCTTACGCCGATCTCAGATCATCAGTATATGACTATGGACTTCACTACTTTGTGGCTCCATTAGAAGGAGAAACGAATAATTGGAAAAAGTAAACATTCCGGAACATGAATGGTCCGTTTCAACTCTTAGCTCAGACAAACCACAGTTATCATCAACCCCGAGGCTAAAGGTGAAGCGATTCTCGTCAACAATTTCATCTGTTTTGGTCATTTCTGATCCTCATTGAAATTTATAGTCGGGGAGGGTGGGGGTGTTGTGTCGCGGCCGCGCGTCCTTTGTACTCGGAAAAATTGGTGGCATTTTGATGAGATCTTTTTTTGTTCTGAGTGCAAGAGAGAGAGAGATGAGAGAGAGTGAGAGAGAGTTAGTATGCAGATTGAAGCTAGTTTTCATGTCGGAAGCTTCATCTTCCAGCTTATAGAGCTCTCGTAAGAAATCATTGAAAAGACAAAAGTTGAGACATAGAACGTTGTACGCATGTTGGGTTCTCCACTGTTCTCGTACTGAGCAACACGCGACCTTAGTGTTTGTGGCGGCAACTCAATAGTTTTGCAGCTTTGTAATACGCTGATCTGCAGAGTTAGTCACACCTCTCTTGGCTGGTTTTCTCGTGTTCGAAATATGATCGATTGGGTAATTTATTGCGCTGTCGCACAGACGGAGTCACTACAGTGTCTGTAAATTTGTCCGAACTAGCACATTTTGAAGAAACATTGAACACTGGAATATTCAGTGCCAAAAAAAGCTCATTAACCTGAACCTATCTATCCTATGGCTTCAGTCACGTAGAATCTGTCAAATTAATCTCGAAAAGCTCGATCAATCTGCTACTTGATTCGGACTTCCTCTGCGTGCTCCGGCCTGCTTACGAGGCGATACCGTTAAGACGGTTAGGCTCATTTTCCTCCAGCTTTTTACCGTTAAAGTAAATCAGCTAAAGTTGCAAGAGCGACCTGGAACCGCTTGTCGAGTTGGGAATGCAGCAGTTCCTGACTGTTGGGTTGTAATGAACAACGTTCGTGACAGCACTTTCTTACCACTAGTCAGGAGTGGTGTCACTTAGATGACAGCATTAGCCGGCACACAGAAAGGGTTTCAATGGAAGGGGGGGTGTAGTTCATGACATTCGGTGCGTCGAGAATCTTGCCCACTTTCCCAAACTATTGCCCCTGGAGACCTCGCTAGCTCTGTTATGCGTCCATTACGACATCCCCTCGAAATCGTCTCATGGTCACTCTTTTGTTAGTACGTAGGCCTTTGCGTAACGCCCTCTCCCCTTCAATGGTACCAAGAAGGATTCCATGTGTTAAGAGAACTCTGCCATTTTCTATCGCATTCTCGGGCATTTGCTTCTTACCTGATGTGCATTATTTACAGTCGGATGGAGACTTGAGCAATCGGGAAGGAACAGTGGCAATCGTTGAGAAAATTCTAAACGTGGCGAACACAAGTGCACTGCCGAGTACAAAGTTCTTCCAGATCACCATTTCTTATACGGATCATTCCTACACGATCATTGAAAGCGGTAGATATACTTTTGTTGTTAAACGAAGGATTCATGCTTAGCCAGCTGTACATACTTGCTTTTTGCCTCTTCATGGAACCTTTAATGATGCAATAACATAACATCTGCTGTCCGAGTGAATAACTGTGATTTCTGCTAGCATGTCAAGGCGGATTTGAACATTTCAATAAATTCTACGTAAGGATAATATTTCTGTGCTGGGAAATTTGTAGATACAGTGTTCTTCGCTGCGACTGCTAGGGCGTGTCGTGGGCTGCATTTGGGGCCGTGCCTAATTGTTTTCCACCACCAATTCTTGTCGCTTGTTTATTTCGGCAGTTGGTTGAGAACGCGTTGGCAATGCGCCAAATCCAGCTTCCCACTCCTGACAGGTCTACGGAGAACTAAAACTCAGTTCCTTAATGGCGCCAACTTTTCTGTTTTTCTCTGCGCTCTCTTGCCTGAATGGCGCTTTGTGACCACTCTGACCTTTCACATTCCATAAATACTAGGTGGCTCATCCACCCCGGTGCCCCTCGAAAAATACTCATTCCTTGCGAGGGAGGACCCCCACTAAGTTTTAGTTGTCACGTAACCCCCTGTCACGCCCCGTCATCCACAGCGAAAGAGACTATAGACTATAACGGTACCCCAACTAGACGGGTTGCGAGCTTCATGGGAT